GCAGTTTCACCACTTTAGGAATCTATTCGCTCCTCAGTCTTTAACAGTGTCCAGCATCATGTTTGTATGAGAAAAAGAAGCTTCTAGAAGATGTTTCCTCATAAGAAAAGATAAGAGCTGAGTTAAAGAATTCATTAACCATTAGAAGAAGAACCGTTCATCGTTAAAATGTCTGCATGTAAGTTAAATATACTTGAATTTTTCCAAGAGTTGTCAAAGACAGCACAGTGCTCCAGGTTTAAAGGGTCATATCAGAGCGTAGATTTTACTTTTCAGTGCAGGCAGATGAAGAACAGCTGGTGGTTAAGTGCCCATAGTGAATACAAAGCTAATAATAATTTGATAAAAAAAACCTTGAAAGTTGTTCTTGATGAGCAACCTTGTAGAAAACTAATCTGTGTGAATCTGTGAGCCGTCAAACCTTGTGACACGATGTTGTTGACACTCAGGGCGTCTGTGGGTTTCAGCAGAAAACGTCCTTTTCCTGCCGGAGGCTGCATAGAGTCGATGGCTTCATCCAGCGAGGCTTGCTGGGGTGGGGGGACATCAAACTCTGATTCGTAATAAGCCACAATGGTGTTCGACCCTGTGTCGCCCTCACTGCACAACAGGACACACAGAAGATTTGTACAGACTTCATTCAGTGCAGCAGAGAAGCAACTGCGCATTACAGCTCAGCATTACAGCTATGAACCAATCAGCCGCCTCAATAAAACAATCAGATTAGTACTGTGCAGGTCCATTTACTCTCTGAACTATCAGAGCGTGGACTGCACTTATTGCCTTTATTTCTGACCCCTTAAAAGATCTTCATTGATATCCACTTTTCCCGTCACTGCTGATATTGTTGTGGCTGGCTGGTACGCGCTGTCTCTTTCACAGTACCTGAAGGCCTGGACGGACGAATGGTTGAAGTATCTGTCCAGCAGTGAGTTTTTGGAGTACATCAGTTTGAGCTGAAGAGAAAAAGGTCACATTATGTCACCTATTAACTTTATGGCCTCAACAAATAGAGAAACACGTGACAGAGGAAGACACAGAGCAGAAGTGGTTAGAAGTAACATCAAGGTTACAACTCAGACTCGCAGCACACGATCAATGGGGAAGTAGGTCCTATTAAAAGGCCTGAAAAGATTCGTCTCACTGGAAGTGTAGGAGTGCTATCACCTCTGTCTACTGATAGTGCTGAATGAATGTATAACACAGCATATATGGAAAATTCCCATGATGCTTTGGCCCTGTCAGGTCTCACCTCTTTGCAGACCTGAGCAGCCAGGTTAGTGAACTCAGAACTGCCGGGCTCCTCATACTGTGGCAGGAATTGCTTGTTGTTGATTTCCATGGAGCCAATATAAATTTTCTTCATTTTCACATGCTGGGGCTCTGAAGACACACAGACATGTTTACAATATATTTACCACAACTGTATACAATTTTTATAACAATTTTATGGGTGAGTTTCCCTCGTAACTCTTTGGATTTCAGGCTTGAAGTTAGCTTGACTGACAGGTGTGCCCAGACTGAACTGGACCTCTCTCTCTTACAGGACAAATAGCGCTGCTACAGTTGTGAGAGGAAAGCTGGGGTAGTTTCTTCACCCATTAGTGAGACGTCCTGGCTTCTTTCCAATAAATGAAGACCTTCTAAATTAGCGAGACACCATTTCCTCTCCAACTTACAGGTTATCTGCATCAAGCTGTGTAATTGAGATTTATACCAGGGAGTCAACTATTCTGAATTTGAAGCTTTTGTTTTCATAGGAGCCACAGTATCCAGAGTCATACGCAGCGAGGACGTAACACTATTAACGAGATAATCAACCTCAGTGGGAGTAGAGTCCAGGTAGCTGCTCTGTTTACATTAGACCTCACACCTGCCTGATATCCTGTCCGACATCAAGGCGTCAGACATGTATTTTCAAATCCAACCAGCATCAGGTCAGCTGAATGTAGTTTGATAAAGTCAGCTTACGGCAAAACAGCCCGACCAGCAATGCGATCACAGCCAGAACACCAATCACCAAGGCGACTCCTATCCCCGCCCCCTTCTTGTTGCATGACTTCTTCTCCAGGTCCTTGGGATTTGTAGCCTGCAGAAATGCTTCCTCGACATCATTGTCCTGCATACAGAGATAGTTGGAGAAGACAAAGTTTATCAATTAGTTCAAGACTGCACAAAATCTCAAAGTGGCCTCAACATTTTTGTTTTGTTCAAGGCCAAAGTTTGTTTTTTTATCTTTGTTTTTTTTCCACAGTCTGGCGTGCAACGTTATCAGGTAGGAGTAGCAGGTTAGTAGACAGCAGACTGTGGGCTGTTTACTCGACTGCAGTATTGGATGGTGTTTTCCAGTGACAGCAGCACAGCGCTCCGTCTAAATCCAACAGTCCCCCGGCTTTTTGAAGATGCTGCTGTTCAGCGTGTTTGTATTCACTACAGACTCTATATAAAAATGTAGAAGACTCACTGTGAGATTTGAAGCCTGAACCAGCAGTTTGCTGTTTTTAAGGATTGAAATGTCCATATTGAACCACAGAGTGGACTCCTAACTTAATGCGTAAACATAGTGACCTGAGTAAGTTATTATATCCATGTACATCACAGCCTGACTGAGAATCCAGCCGTCTTCTTTTGCTCATCCTTATTCAGGGCAGCTGGAGCCCATCCCAGCTGTCACAGGTCCAGAGGCAAGATACACCCTTGACTGGTCCATTAACAATAGTCAGTAAAAGGCACCAAGCAAAATAATTTCAAGAATTAAAGTTAACATAAAGAGGAGTTATAAAAACAGCTATTATGACAACTAGAAAGCTAGCCACACAGGGTAAACCGTACAGGGTACGGGAGTCTGTGGCACTTGGTTCAACTGTGCTTTCTGTTTGCAGGTTAGTGACAGATACAGAAGTTGCTCCAAGTTCACCTCATGTAAATTTGACTTTTGTCAACTTGTTTTTTTTTTCACAGGTTTTGTGTTTTTACAGCCACAGCTTCTCAGATTACTTTTCAAAACTGTCTGTTTTGTTCAACAAACATGTTCGATGCACATTTTCCACAAAACTACATATAAAGAGAAACGAGAGGCAGCACGTGCACATGTACCTCCATTTCTTCCCATCAGTCTTAAGCAAATATGCATACATGAACTTTTTCCTCCTCTCATGTCACTGCTGACATTTTGAAAATAAAATGATCGAGCAGTGGGAAAAAACATCTAGAGCTATTAACTAGTGCTACAACAAAGTGGAGTCAGAATATACAGTGAGCACAGCAGACTTTAAGCACCAGGGACATCACCCCAACCTGATACTTTAGTTCAAAGTTGATGATAAATTTGTGAAAAGGTGTTGCCTTTAGTTTTTAGTTGTACTTATGACTGTAAAGGCAGCAAATGAGGACACAGTGTGTTTTTCCAATGCACTGTAAACCTGTTCAGCTGTGTCAAGCAGGGTGTTGCTGCACAGGAATGTCTCTATGGCTGTTATGAAATGCCAGCGTTTTGTATCCAGGACACACCATTAGATCTCTAATACAGCGTTTTAAAGAGCTGGTTGGTGCCTCATTATAGGGTGTGACATAAATGCTCTCCCTTCAAACAATCCAAAAAATCATTTGTGCCAAAGGCAAAACTGTGTGAAGCACAACCCTAACTAACCCTTCCACAAGCCCTGACATAATGTGCACATCTAACCACAAAGTGTGATTAACATTAATCTCTTTAATAAACTAGATATTACACGCTTACATAGAAGATCCAGAATTACTGACCAAACAAACACTGTTTGTCTTCAGAAGATAGGATTGATATCAGTATAGTTTTGTGCAGCTTTTCTACCATGTTGTTGAATGAGCTCCAGCTCTATTCTGGATTGTTGAAGCCATTTGGTAAAGACGGCCTAATGTTTCTATCGGTTCTAAGGAGTTCCATTATAATAATCATCAAACAGGATTTGGGAAAAAACAAACAAACAAACAAAGTGAGATTCTACTCGAGGATAACAGGTCTGTTATCTGTGAGATAATCACAAGGACTGTGAGGACAAAAGTGGTCATTTAAAAAGCAGATTTCCTTGAAGTTGAACTTGTACAATGGAAAATTATAAAACAAGCAACAAAACAAGAGCATTATGAAAAAAA